ATGAAGAGGGACCTTCTTATCGAATTGACATCCCTTCTCATCTCAGAACTTATTCTGTTTTTCATGCGTCTAACTGTTGCCCTATGTAGAAGGAGATGATTTTTCAAACAGACCATCTATGAATCCCCCATCCATGGACGGACAATATGAGATTGATAGGACCATAGAACACGGGTTTTTCTCTACAGGAGCACGGGGCAGACCACAAAAGCAGTTCAAAGTACGTTTCAAATTCCAACAACCATCAGAGGATCGATGGCTTAGTAAAAAAGAACTGCTTGAAACCGCACCAGATATTGTCGCTGCCTATGAACGAGGGTTAAGATTATAACTATTTCTGCAGTGGAACTCGAAAGCGGGACGGCAGGAATGTAATAACCCTGTTCAGCAGTCGACCTGGGGCCCAAACCTTAGCCCCAGGCCACACAGTCTGTGGAAGACTGCGCCGGGCTGTGTAACCAACACATGCCCCGGCCTGAGTAAACTACGTACGGCTGTGGGACCGAACGCCAAGACTTCGGAAAATCAAAGGTCAAAGTCAACTGTCAGTCAAAGTACCATGCCAGGTCTTGGATCAGACTCATTCACTTGTTGAGTGCAGGTACCCAGACTACGACCCAGGCCAAAGAAGATACAGTTGCAGATCTATCCAGACCCTCCAGGCAGGGAGATCTGGACGGCTGAGGTTGGATACTACCGGGGATCAGACCCCGAGTCAACACTATAAGAGCATTGGCTCCTTGACTTTGGTAATTCTGGCTGTCTTGCGTTGAYGCTGTTTTCAGCGCCTGACTCTCGCAGCCTTGGTTTGAYGCTGCGAGACTGGAGGAAGGCCGGCATTTGCTGACATGGTGAATTACCGCTGGCTAGCTTGCTATCTGGCTGGCGACTGTCTCTGATATGCTGACGTGGCAGTCGCCACGTATTGCTGCTAACGTGGCGTTGCCACGTGTCGTACTGTCGGATCCTTACGACCGGCTATTGATCATCGGCTTCGTTACTTCAACGGGGGGGTCGTGACTATTCGGGATGAGATCTGGACTTGTGAGGTGTTGTGAATACATACCTGATGTCTTCATGACGACGAGGCTCCGCGCTAATTAATGTATTGATCGGTGCCACGTGGCACCCAGAGGCTGAGTCTCTAATTTGTATTCAGATCATTACTGATGTGGGGTTGCTGTCGTAGGAGGAGCCCGGAGAAGGAGTGGGCCTTATCCCTCTCCCTTGTCTAATCTCCCCCTCCTCTCTTCGTCCGTGTATGATTATCTCACCCCCCACTTTCTTACTGGATACTATTGTCATTGAAGATCTATCATTGGTTCGATAATCTTGGCTTTCGGTGTCGACATTGTATCCACGACTTGGGTTCATTGCACACATCAAAATTCTTTAGAATCTTTACCAAATGTAAAATAACAATTTAATTCTTTAAAATTCATTTTGGCCCGGCCGGGCAACTGGACCCGGGCCACTCTGGTAGCCTAGGTACGACGTGATTAACGGTACAAAACATCAAACAACGTACCTGTCGTCGTCCACGCTGGAGTGCGAGCAGTAGTCGTCTTGTTTCGGAATTGAGTACCGCATCTCTTTGCTCTGAAAGGGTCCTGGCCCTACTGCGTATAATGCCTTGGAATTATCAAACACCGCGCTGAACCGAGGGAAGACCGATTGCTCCCTCAACACTCCCTGCAGCACCTTTCTTCGCGTTCCCCTGTTCTTCACGTCCGACCAACGCGACTGTTCAAAGGGGTTCACTTTCTGTATGATCACCTAACGTGCACAAGGAGATGAAAATCCAAACAGCAACAGAAAGTACTGAGTAGTAAGAGAAACAGTAAATACCTTTCTCGGCCTTTTGGCCAAGTAAGATCAAGTGAACTGTATCTGTTCTGATCAGTTTAATATCTGATTCGTGGTCCATCGGACCACACTTTCACAAAAAAAAAAACAAAACAAAAAAAAAAAAACAGTAACCTACCTGAAAAGTCTGCTCTGAGCTTAGCATTGTTAGCAAAAAACAAATAATAATAAACAACCAAACGCGCTAGGCATAGGCTTTAGCCGACCTGAAAAGTCTGCTCGTTCCTGATGTTCG